GAGAGTATGGAGAACATGGGGAGAGCACGGAGAGAGCGCGGAGAGTACGGAGAGCAAGGAGAGAGCATGGAGAGCACGGAGAGCATGGGGACAGTGCGGAGAGAGCATGGGGAGAGCACGGAGAGAGTGAGGAGAGTATGGAGAGCATGGAGAGAGCATGGACAGAGCACGGAGAGTATGGCGAGAGTATGGAGAGAGCGCACTAAGAGGGCGCGGTGGGAGCGCGGTGCTGCCCGGGCCACCACGCTGTTCCTCCCCACTGGATCAAGCCACAGAGGGTCCCATCAGCGGGCAGATTGGAGCACCAGAGCAGGGACAACGCGGTGGGCATGTTTGGTGACTGTGACTGTGCCGTGCCAGTGTCCATGCCGCCCTCCTTGCTGCTGCCTCAGCTCATGCTCATCACTGAGGTATGGCAGGCTCCTGGACACAGCCCCGGGGAGGGGACATGCGGGGACAACAGCCTGGGGCCCTTGTAGGACACATGTCCCYCAGGGCCACCAGCCGGTGCTGCTGGAATGCGGTGGGTTGGCCAAGGGAAGCGAGTTGGGGAACAGGATGGATGCACCATGCCATGATGCACCAAACAGCGATGCACCACGCTGTGCTGCACCACGCCATGCTGCACCGTGCAATGCCATGCTGTGCTGCACCATGCAATGCCGCACCATGCAATGCCGCACCATGCCATGCCATGCCATGCTGCACCATGCCATGCCGTGCTGCACCACGCTGTGGCACGCATGCCACGCTGCATGGCCCTGCAGCACCCTGCACTGCGCCGCCCAGTACTCACTGATGGGCTGCCCCTCCAAGAAGTGGATGTTGTGCAGCGCCTCGCCCTGCTTGGCACGCAGGTTCTCCAGCCAGTACCTGATGATGTTCTGCCGTTCCTGCGGCCCGCGGCACCATGAGCAGAGCGGCGCCGTGCCCAGCGCCCCGCGCCCGCCCCTGCCACCCACCTGAGAGGTGAAGAAGTAGAGCTCGTTCTCGATGTTCTCGTAGATGTAGTCCTCCTCGCAGGAGAAGCTGCGCATGCCGCCCCCGAACTCGGCCTTCACGGGCTTGCGCAAGCCGATCTCGTCGGCCCCGCGCAGGAGGCTGCGGGCAGGGAGCGCTCGGGGCTGCGGCGGCGGCACCGGCGGCACCGGGCCGGGCCCCGCGGCGCCCGCCGCCCGCTCCTACCTCTCGTAGGTGGCGGTGACGAAGAAGGCGTAGGCGCGCGTGTGCTTGTGGTGCCGCACCTGCACGATGAGCTCGGGGATGCCCAGGCGGATGTGGTTGAGCAGCCAGAGCAGCGTGTGGTCGTCGGTGGAGTCTGCGGGGCGGCGGGGAGGGCGCTGCCACCCGCGGCCCCGCGGCCCCGGCCTGCGTCCCCCCCTCCGGCGGCGTCTCCCTACCCGGGAAGGTCATGAGCACGTCGCAGTTCTCCGTGGGCACCGTCTTCATCCAGGCTTTGTGGGACATGATGTAGCGCCCGGCCTGCAGCAGGCGCTTCCCGAAGAGCTTATCTGCCGGGGAGGCGGCGCCGYGTGAGCGGCCGGTGCCGCTGGGTCCCCAGCCCCGGTGCCGCAGGGTCCCTGTCCCGGGCGCCGCGGCCTCCGGCTCAGGTTTCCCCTCTGGCAGCTCAAGGAGCCCAGAAAGGGCCCGACAGCTGCAAGGGAGGCGGCGGCGGCACTGCGCACCCCTGCGCTGCCGGCGCCGGGAGGAAAAATGAACGAGAACGGAAAAATGGGAGTGCCAAAAAAGCCGGTGGTTTCCATGGAAACGCAGGGAGGCCCCGCGCTGCGGGAAGTGGGAAATGGGGGTGGGCGCCGGGTGAAGGGGGTCCCCACATGTCCCCAGATGCCACCGAGCAGGCGGCAGGGCTGGACCCGCCGCTCTCCTTGTCCTGGCTCGCCCCTTGCCTCGGTTTCCCCCTCCTGTGTCACACAGCGGGGCTGCCACAGGCCGGTGTCCCCAAGGGCCCTCCTGGCACCTCTGGGATCCCCTCCCAGCTGCCAACCGGCCCCGGGGCCAGGCAGGTCCCCGGGGCACCGGAAATCCTGTCCAGGCGCCGCGTGCCGGGAACCAGTCAGGCTGGTAGGGAGCATCCCGTCTGCCAGGGCCGCTCCAGCCCGGAAATGCCAGGACACCCCTGGGCCCTCCATGGAGCCGCCCCGGCCTCGGGGATCCGCGCTGGCCGGGCTGAGACCCGGCAAACTCATCTCCTCGGCTGCGTCCATCCCGGCGCGACACCTGGCGCATTCCGCGCCCTGGGCTGCGCCCGTCCCACGGGTGGATGTGAAAGGGCGCCCTGTCCCGGCGGGCCGGGGGCGAGCGGCGGCGCGGCCGGCGCCGTGCGCRGCACAAGCCCGGCATTGTGGCGGCCACCGCAGCTGCCGGCCTCGTGCCCCAGCCTGGCACGGGGGCCACCTCGGCCTGGCAGCGTCCCGGCGGTGGTGGCACTGCCCGGGGGGCTCTGCTGCCTGCACAGGGATTATTCCCACCTTGCAGGCGGCGCTAACCCAAGCGCAGGGAGCAGGAGGTGGCCCAGGCAGCCCCACGTGCAGCTTGTGAAAGGAACCCGGCTGTGCCAGGCCCAGATATCCCGCTATTTCCCCCCAAAATCTGCTGGAGCCTCRTGTCCTGCCAGCGAGCACCCTCGTCCCCTGCATGGGGGTGTTTATTGCTGCCAGGGACCGCGGCAGGCAAAGGGATCCTGCGCAGGGGGCAGCGCCACGGCCCCCTCCTCACGCATCCCGCCGGGGCTGCGCCGCTAACCTTGGCTCCCCGGTGTAAGGTCACCGGAGCGGCGGCGCTCGGGGCGGGAACGCGCGGCCCGGCCGGCACGGAGCGGGGTCGCCGGCACGGAGCGGGGCCCGCAGCCGCGCGCGTCATCCCGGCCCCGCTGCTGCCCTGCGGGGGAGGCTGCTTCCCGCGAGGACCCAAACTGGGTCACGGGCTCCGGGCGYGCCAGCAAGCCGGAGTCGCCGGCTCCGCTCCCTACCGGCACCACACGCGGCCCAGGCCCCTGCGACGCCTCCCTGGCACCCGACCGGTCCCTGCTGCGGCTGCTGGGGGTCACAGTGAGGCTGCCTGGTGCCCAGGCCACTCCATCCCCGATCCGTATCCCACAGCTGCCGCTCGGCTCTGCTCCAGCCCCATCCCTGTGCCAGGGGGCACAGAGCCGGCTGTGGYGGGTGGAATGGGTCCATCTGGGGGGGCACTGGCCCATCCTGGGGGGCAGGGATGCAGTCCCTGTCTTGGAGTCACAGACGTGTCCCAGGACACGCAAGGACCTGGTCCCAGGGGCACAGCCCTGTCCTGGGGGGGCAGGACCCCATYGGGGGGGCACACAGAGGTCCGATCCCCAGGGATCATCTCTGTGTGCGGGATGCAGGGAGCGGATTGTCAGGGCACAGGGAGCTGTCCAGGGGAAAGCACGGAGCCCATCCCGGGGAGGACCCCAGCCCTGCGCGGGGGGACAGGAACCCGGGGGACAGAAACCGGGGGTCACAGCGCGGTCACAGCGCGGTCCGGGGGGGCTCGGACGGCCCTCGGCTCCGGGGCTGCACAGGGGGACCGGGACCCGGCGCCGAGCGGCAGCCGCCCGGGCCGGGAGCTGTCCCGCAGCCCGGCCGGGCCCGGCGACATCCGCATTGAGCCGCAGGGAGCGCCCCCCCCGCCTGCCACCGCCCGCAGCCCGCGGCCCGGGACCGACACGGCGACCGGAACCGCGACCGACACCGGCAGCGACGCCGCGACCGACACCGGCAGCGACACCGCGACCGACACCGGCAGCGACGCCGGGAGCGGGAGCCGCGGCCGGGCCGGCTGCCACCGCGGCGGGGAGGGGGCATCTGCGCCCGGTTCCCGCTGCCCCCCCGCACCCCCGCGGTGTCCCCCCCGCGCCGGGGCCGCGGGTGCCACGTACCCAACACGCCGGCCGGGGCCGCGGGCTCCGCTCGCTCCTCGGCGCCCGGGGCCCGGCGGGGCCGCTCGGAGTCCAGCGCTGCCGCGGCGGGAACAGGCATGGAGGGGGCCTGCGGGGCTGCGGGGGCTGCTCGCCGCGCCGGCCGCCGCCGCATGGGGCCGCCGGGCTGCGGGCGCGGGGCCGCTGCCGCCCGAGCCGCCCGAGCCGCCGCCGGGAGGAGGGGACAAAGCGGCCGAGCGCCGCTCCCGGCCCCTTTAATTGTCTGCTTGGCCGCCCGCTCCCTTGCGACGGCCGCGGGGCCCAGGCGTCCGGGCCGCACCCCTCCCCCTCCCCCCCCAGGGATGGTCCCGGGGTGCGGGGGGCGGGGAACAGGCATCCCGCGCCCCCCCAGGCGGCCCGATCCGCCGAGAGGATCCGGAGCATCGCGGGCGGCAGCCCCCGCCCCACCGTCCTTGTCCCTACCGCGTCCCCATGCCCCCTGCCCAGATGCCCCCCCTGCCCCCCGGGTTATTCCTGCACCCCTGTCCTCGTGGTGCCTCCCTGCCCCACATCCCGCTGCCCGCYGGGAGCCCCATGTTCCCCTCCCCAGCCAGTCTGCCCCACATCCCCATTGCTGCCCCCATGCACCATCCCCCCCCCCGCGGACTCGATGCCCCCCCTCTATGTACCCCCCTGGGTCAGGGTGTTATTTCGGGCGCCCCGGGCGGGCACGATGGCACGCAGGGAACCCGACCTGGGCTACACAGTGTCCTGGTGACCTTTACGAGCCCTCCTGCGGCCCCTGCCCTGCGCCCAGCCCCGGGGGGCAGCCACGTGGGGGGGGGATGCAGGGGGGGGCCCGCACAGGCCCTCGCAGGCTCCACAGGGCCCCGTGCCCCCCATGGCAGTGCGGGGRTCAGGGTGAGCAGGACCCCCTGTGCCCCACTTCTCACTTGGTCCCCAAAGTGTCACCGCCTGCACATGGCTATTTTGGGGTGGGCGCTGGGTGGCAGCAGTGACAGCCATGACAGACGAGGCCACAAGGACCCTGCCCCCCCTGGGGCCAGCAGCCCAAATCCCCCCCTAGTCGCCACTCAAGGGGGCTGTTCTCGGGGCGCCCAGGACCCTCTGGTGACACAGGGCAGCCTGGACCCCACTGTCCCCTGCCAGGGCAGGGGCTGTGCAAGGGGACAGCTCCTGAGGGGAGGAGAGCGTGGTGGGGTCAGGACTGGCTCAGGGGTGGGCAGGGGGGTGTCCCCAGGGCTGCGTGTGTGCAGGAGGTGCATGCACATAGATGCACATGCATGCACATGGGGTGGGGTGATCCAGCCCCCCCAGGATCCCCCCGACCGGCCTCCAAGCCAGGAGCTGCCCCTGCAGAGCTGCCCTTKGCTGCAGCCTCCCGCTCTGGCTCTACTGCCTGGCCGTCCATGTCCACGCAGGAGCACCGGGGGGGACCAGGGCCGGTGGCCGGAGCTGGTGGAGTTCCCGGCATCCCCATGCGCTCCAGCACTGGCTCCCAGCCCTGCACCGGCGCTCGCTCCTCCCTGCTGCCAGAGCCTTTGTCTGCACGGGCCTCCCTCCCTGCCRTGTGTCCCCGTGTCCCCRTGTCCCTGTGTYCCYGGGAGGCCTGYGGGCTGCGCAGCCCTGGCACCAAGTGCCGAGCACAGCCGTGGGGAGTGAGCCCAGGCCGCAGGGCCCGCGGCGCCTCCCGCCGCGCTCCGGTGCCTCCCGCCTCCCCGTGTCCAGGACAATCCCGCAGTTCCGGGAATGGCGCCACAGCRGGAGGCTGCGAGTCCCGCGCCGCCGCCTCCGTCCCAGGGCCGGAGCATCCCTGGGACTCAGCACCTCCCGTCCCAGAGCCGGGTGTCCCCGAGGCAGGGACACCGCAGGGTGTGCAACCCTCAGGAACTTCCCGGGATGCCCGTGTGGCACCGGGGCAGGGGACACCGGCAGCGTGGTGGGGCTGGGGATGCTCAGGGGCTGCTGGCCAGGGGTGAGGGACTGAGGGGGGTCCCCATGGGGCACGTGGGTGCTGTCCCCCCCCTCTAAGCACCTGTCACCGCCCGGCTCCCACCCAAGCCCAGGTTCGGAGCCAAACGGGGGTTTCTTCAGGGTGCAGGACGGGCCCTGGAGGAGCCCACAGCCCTGCTAGGTGCTGCTGCGGTGTCCCCTGCCCAGGGAGGGGACAGCAAGGACACATGCCCTGTCCCTTGCCACCCAATAGCCCGGGCTCCTGGGGACGGGACCGAGCGCCCCGGGGACAGAGGCGCCGGGGGGGCCGCCGGGGGGCGCGCGGCGCTGCACGGGACAACGTGGCGACAGCCCCGGCCGCGCCGCGCGACACGCCGGGCGGAAGCGCTGCGCCGCACAGCCTCGGGCGGCGKGACGTCACAGCGCACTCTGACCAATCAGAGACGAGCTAGGCATGAAGGCCGCCCCTCTCTGCGGCGCTGGCCAATGAGGGCGCGGGGGGAGTTGCCCGCCCTGAGGCCGGCGCGGGGGCCGGGCGGGCGCGGGCGGCTCATGGCGCTGCGGAGCGCGCTGAGCGCGGCGGGCGCCGGGTGAGCGGGTTCAAAGAGAGGGATTTGCCAAGCGGGGGTGCACCGGGGTGGGAATGTGCGGGGGGGTGCACGGCGAGGGGGTGCGCTTGGGGCCCCCGAGGGCGGTGCACCCTGCCAGGGGGGTTGCAAGGGTGGCGGTGCCCTTGGGCTCGGGGTGCACAGGGAGGGGGGGTTGCACCCTGCAGTCAGCGCAGGGGCTGCACCTTGGGGTGGGGGGGCTGTGCATGGGGAAGAGGGTGCAGCTGGGGAGGGGGTGCCCCCTGGCAGCCTGTCTGCCCCCTAGGGCTGGGCAGGGGTGCGTAGGGAGGGTGCACAGCCCCAGGGCACGGGGTGCACCTAAAGGGGTGCACGTAAAGGGGTGCACAGCCCCAGGGTATGGGGTGCACCTAAAGGGGTGCACATAAAGGGGTGCACAGCCCCATCTCTACAGGTTGCACCGGGAGCACATACATGGGGAAGGGGGTGCTGCACCCCTTTTGGGATGTGGGACAGGAGCACCCTTTACCCCCCCGCTGTGTCCCCCCCCGCAGGCAGATGCGGCACCTCTGCTCAGCAGCGCACGGTGACACCGTCTTCGCGCTGTCCTCGGGCCACGGCAAGTGCGGCGTGGCCGTGATCCGGGCCAGCGGGCCGGGCTGCCGCGCGGCCCTGCAGAGCCTCACGGGGCGCCCCGCGCCCCCCCCGCCCCGCGTGCTGGCCCTGCGRCGCATCCGCGACCCGGCCACCAACGAGCCCCTCGACTGCGGCCTCGTCGCCTGGTTCCCGGGTGAGAGATGATGGGTCGATGCTGGGGAGACATYGGTGGCACTGCAGGGTTGGTCCTGGCTTGCATGGACACCTGTGGGCACCGTTTGCTCCCGTGGGCACCGTTTGCATCCCGTGGAATTGCAGAGCGTGTGGAGGGGTCGGTGCCAGTGCTGGGGAGACTTCAGTGGCACCGCAGGGCCGGTCCTGCCTTGCACGGACACCCGTGGGCACCGTTTTTCCATCCACCGTTTGCATCACGAATTGCAGCGCGTGCGGAGGGGCTCAGCGGGATGCCCGTCCCCAGCATGCCGGTGCTTTGCAGGGCCCCGGAGCTTCACGGGCGAGGACTGCTGCGAGCTGCACGTGCACGGCGGGCCGGCCGTGGTGAGCGGCGTGCTGCAGGCGCTGGGTAAGGGGCCGGCGCCGGTGCCGCGGTACCGTGCGGGCGCGCGGGCGCTCACCGGGCGCCGTGCAGGGCGCGTGCCCGGCCTGCGCCCAGCCGAGCCGGGCGAGTTCTCCCGCCGAGCCTTCCGCAACGGGAAGCTGGACCTGACGGCGGCCGAGGGGCTRCGCGACCTGGTGCAGGCGGAGACGGAGGCGCAGCGGCGGCAGGCGCTGCGYCAGATGGACGGCGAGCTGGGCCGGCTCTACCAGCGCTGGAGCGACTTGCTCACCCAGGCAAGGGCGCGGGGCGGCCGGACGCCTGGGCCCCGCCGCCAGCCTGCACGTGGCTGAGCCGCTCGCCCTCCACAGGCGCTGGCCCATGTGGAAGCCTACATTGACTTCAGCGAGGATGACAACGTGGAGGAAGATGTGCTGTCACGAGGTGAGGGGGGGGAGGGGGACATGGGGGGGCTGCCCGGTGCTGGCAGCCCCTGTCACCGCTGTCACGCGCAGTGGCCGAGGCCGTGCGGGCGCTGGAGCAGGAGGTGGGCGCCCACTTGCGGGATGGGCGCCGCGGGGAGCTGCTCCGCGCCGGTGTCCGCGTCGTCATCGCCGGCCCCCCCAACGTGGGCAAGAGCAGCCTGCTCAACCTGCTGGGTGAGCGGCACGGGGACGGGGCTGTGCCCGGGCCGCGGCGGCCGCGGGGGCCTCAGCCCCGTCCCTGAGCCGCGTCCCGGCGCAGCGCGGCGCCCGGCCGCCATCGTGTCCCCCGTGGCCGGGACCACGCGGGACGTGGTGGAGCTGTCGCTCAACGTGGGCGGCTACCCGGTGGTGCTGAGCGACACGGCCGGGCTGCGGAGCGCCCGCGACCCCGTGGAGCGCGAGGGCGTGCGCCGCGCGCAGGAGCGGTGAGGGCGCCCGGCCTCACCCGCGCATCGAGSATGCTCCCGGTGCATCCCGCATGTCCCCTCCGCCACCGTGTGCCGCATCCTTCCCGTTTCCCCTTGCAGGCTGCAGCAAGCCGACCTGGTGCTGGCGGTGCTGGACGCCGGCACGGCRCAGCCCGAGGGTCTCGGCGCCGCGCTGGGCGCCGTGCTGCCCCCGGCGCCCCCCAAGCCCTGCCTGCTGGTGCTCAACAAGGTGGACTTGCTGGCGGGGGGCGGCGCGGGGCCGCTGCGGGCGGCCTGTGCCCGGGGGGGGCTGCCCCCCGCCGCCCTGCTCTCCTGCAAGACGGGCGAGGGGCTGCCCGCGCTGCTGGAGCTGCTGCGGCAGCAACTGCAGGAGCTGTGAGTGCCAGCGCGGCGCGGGGGGAGCCCGCTGGCAGTGCGGGGGTGTCACAGCAGCCGCCCCTTCCCCGCCGCGTGTCCCCCCCAGGTGCGGGGAGCCGGGGGCCGGCGCGCCCAGCCTCGCGCAGAGCCGCCACGGGCACCACCTGCGYGCCTGCCTGGCCGCGCTCGCCCGCTACGGCGCCGGCCGCGGTGCCGACGTGGCGCAGGGCGCCGAGCAGCTGCGCCTGGCGCGGCGGCACCTGGGCCGCATCAYGGGCCACGTGGGCGCCGAGGACGTCCTCGACATCATCTTCAGGGACTTCTGCGTGGGCAAGTGAGGGGCCCCCGCCGCTCCGATTAAAGCCGGTGCCTTCAGCTGCGTCCCTGCCCTGCCGTGGCGCTCCCTGGGCACTCAGGGGATGTTTCCTGAGCCCCAGCCTTGGAAAAATGCGACCGCTGCCGCCTTTCCGGGCGGGWGGGTAAACACAGAGCGGGAGAGTCTGCGAGGACAGTGCTGGCCCCGATGGCTCCCTGGGGGCCAGCCTGGGTGTCCCCAGGTGTCCCGGTGCCCCCGGAGTTCTGGTGGCTCYGTGATGCCGCTTTCGGCTCCGGGGGCTCCTTGGGAATCCGTGGGCTTCTCCCGCCGCCCCCCTGCGGCTCYGCAGCGGAAGCTCCTGCTGCTCCACGGTTATTTATAGAGGAGCTGCAGGAAATCCTGCAGCGCCGAGCGCATCCCCCGCGGGGCCGGCGCTGGGCAGGGGGCCGCTGCAGCCCCCGGCCGCCCTGTCCCAGTGCCCGTGGTGCCCTATGGTGCCCATGGTGTCTGTGGTGCCCGCGGTGCCCTGCGGCGCCGTGGCACGGTGCCCGTGCCGTGCCGCGCATCCCGCTGCTGCGCGCGCCAGGAAGGGCTCTTTAAACAGGAAGGCGAGGGAAGCGCCGCCGTAAATCAGCGCGCGGCGGCTGGACGGGTCATCGYGGCACCCGGCGCGTCGGGCGCGCGGCTCCGGCGCAGCCCGTGCCCCGCCGCTGGCCGCCAGCCCAGCCCAGCCCAGCGCCGGCGGCTCCGGCCTCCGCGGCCGCCGGGAGCACGAGGGGACGCGTTTTCCCAGCGGAGGTCAGGGATGCTGGCGCGCGGGGGCCAGGGCCTTCCCGCTCCCYCTCGCACGCAATTCCGGCCCGGGAAAGCGGGGCTGGCCTTGGCCCCTCTCCCCAGCGGCCGCCCAGTCCCGCAAAGGAGCAAACACGGGCGGGATCGGCCCCTCCTGGGCCCGTTGCCGCTCGCTCCCCGCTCCCTTGGGTGCACTTGTTCCTGCTCTTCCTGCCTTTCTGCTGCCTTTCCCCTGGGATGGATCATGCCACTGCCCCCATGCCATGCCGCAGGAACACGGACACGTCTCGCACCGGTGCCAATGTATTTGCAGCCCCCAGCCCCGATATAGAGACAGGTGGAGATGGGGGGAAAAGAAGGGAGAAGGGGGCACGGAGAGCGCTGCCCGGTGCCGGCGGGGCTGCGGATGCCGTCAGTGCCGCGGGAAGCGCCGCTCCGGGCTGCTCCGGGCGCCTGGGAGCCGCCGCTAGCCGCTGTGGAGGGAAGGATGAGCCGGGCGGCCCCGGCATGGGCACCCCCGGCCCTGGCRCACGGCTCACCTGGGGTTGGGCGGCACGTACTGCTCCATGATCCTGCGCACGGCTCGCTGGATCTCCTCCGCGTTGATCCTGCCTGCGGCGGGAGGGCGTTGTGGGGCGGGCGCCGCGGCGCCGYGGGGCCCCCCGCGCCCCCCGTCACTCACCCATGCTCTCGAGGACCCCGGGGGGGCGCAGGGCGTCCGCGCCCACGTAGGCGCCCGCGCTGCCGAAGGCGCCGGGCCGCGCGCCGAAGGTGCCGCCCGCGGCCGCCCGCGCGCCGCTCGCGTCCAGGAAGACTCCGAGCTGCAGCACACAGCGAGGGCAATGGGTGCCCGGTCCTGCCGCGCCCACCGCCCCGCGCCTGCCACCCCGTGCCCACCTTGGAGCCTGTRCACATGCCCAGCTGCTCCTTGAGATAGGCTGCCTGCGCCGCCGCCCGGCYCTTCTCCTCCAGCTCCTTGGCCAGCAGCTCCTTGGCCGCCAGCAGCTTCTTCTGCTCCTCCTGGCTGCTCTGCGCGCGCTTCTCGGCCTCCTGCAGCCGCTTGCCCAGGTCCTGCTTGTCGTGCGAGCAGTTCAGCTGGCACTGCGCCACCATCATGGTGCACACCGTCTTGCCCACGTACTTGGCGTCGCGCTCCTGCTGCCAGAGGAAGAGCCCCTCGGTGCGCTGCGCCAGCCAGCCGAGCTGCTCCTGGGCGCCGCTGCAGCTGTAGGGCCCCAGCAGCTCCTTGATGCGCTGGAAGGAGTAGCGCACGTCGTCGCGCAGCGTGGTGCACTCGCGCTGCTGCAGCTCCAGCTGGGAGCGCGTGGCGTCGCAGCCCGTGCGCGTGGTGAGCAGCTCGCGCTGGCAGCCCTCGCCGGCGCGGCTCGCCGCCGCCAGCGCCGCGCTCGCCTTGCCGCAGCGCTCCTCCAGCTCCCGCCGTGTCAGCGCCGCCTGGTCCTGCTGGCTCCGCAGCGTCGCCTTCTCGGCTGCGCGGGGAGGCGGAGGTGGCCGTGGGGCACCGGGGGGGGTCCCGCGCGCGGGACCGGGGTGCTCCCCGGCCAGGGGCCGCCGCGGGGGCCGGAGCCGCTCCCGGCCGCGGCGCCCGGCGCTTACCCTGGCAGCTGGCGTTGATGAGGCTGATGGTCATGTGGCACTCGTCCAGCTTCGTCTTCTGGTAGAAGATGATCCTCATCATCTCCTGCAGCTCCAGCTGGCGGGGCAGGGGAGCGGGTCAGTGCAGCCCCCCGCCCCAAACCGCCCTGCCCAGCCGGGAGCGGCCCCGGGCATCGCTCGGCCCCGCGCTGCTTCCCCGGAGTATCCGGATGGAGCGAGCGGGGATGGGACAAGCCCGGAGAGCCCCATTCTGCATGGGGAGCCCTGCGGTCCCGGGGAACACGGCCTTGTTGGCCGCATCCTGCCGAGTCCAGGGAGCAGCCGGCAGCTCCTGCATCCCGGGAAGCTCCAAGAGCCGCCACCTCCGATCCCTGTGCGCTGCAGGGCTGGATCCCGGCAGCGCCGCAGGACGGGAGAGCCCAGGAGCGGGATGCCAGCGCGGGATCCCTGCCCCGGCCGCTCACCTTGCCGGCGCCGGAGCCCTGGCTGCTGTTGCACTTGTCGAGCTCGCGCTGCACCTTGTGCAGCTGCAGCTGCAGCGCCTGCCGCTCCTTGGCYGTGGCGTTGAGCGCCCGCGTGAGGTTGGCGTTGCGGCCGCTCAGCGTGATGATCTTGGCGTAGCGCTCCTGCATCTGCCGCTCCAGCAGCTGGAGGTGCGTGTCGGTGCCCGCGTGCGCGTTGCCGTACACCATGAAGAGCACCAGCCCCAGGATGATGAGGAACTGGATGAGGGAGGTGAAGAGGAAGACGTACTTCATGTAGAAGCCGCAGTCGCGCTTGGGCACGGCCGCCTTGGCCTCCATGCCGAACTTGGCCATGCCGTAGCTGCTCTTGTCCATGTCCCCGGCGCTCTGCGCGGCGCGGCCGGCCCCGGGCCCCTTTGAGCGGGGCCGCGCCGGGGTGGAGCCTGCTCCCGCCGCCCGCCCGGCCCGTGTTTATATTGCTCCCTTTAATATTTCCTTCTGCTGGGCTCCTTCCTGCTTCTCCGGATGCCTCCGAGCCGCCAGGTTATCGCTCCRCAACTTCTGTTTGCAGGAGGGCTGCTGTTCACACCGATAGCCCCGGGGGCAGGGCCGGTGCATCCCCTGCTGCCCGCCGTGCACCGGTCCCCAGGGAGCCCCGGCCGGCCCGCAGCGCCGCAGCAGCCCATGCAGCCCATGCAGCCCATTGAGCAGCTCCCGCAAAACCCGACCCCACTTCACCTGGGGCATTCAGGAGATGCTTTCGGCCTCTCCACTGCCATCCGCTCCCGGTGCTCCCGTGCAGTGTCCTGGGCACGGGGYGATGGAGCCGCATCCCAAATCCCGCATGCCGGAATGTGGAGCCTGTGATGGCAGCCGCCAATGTTCCCAGCGCGGCGGCCAGAGCTGCATCCTGTTCCCAGCACCGCACAAAGGCCGGGATCATCGGCCCCGTGCATGGCCCCAATGCCACCACCCTTGGAGCCCGCGCCAGCGCCACCAGCTCCGCAGTCCRTGTCCCCACGGGTGCCAGGGAGGCCCAGTGCCCGCCAAGGGGTTGGCATGGGAAGGTGACAGCGAATTCCCCACGGCAGCTGCCCCAGGCGTCCCTACCCCTGCAGGCTGTTGCACTGGGGGTGTTGCACGCCGCCTGGTTCATGCTGGGGTGTTGCACACGGGGCCGTCACACAACCTGCAGCATTCCCCACAGATTCCCTGCGTTTCCCCACCCGATTCCCAGCCGGAATGCAGTGTTCCCACGAGGTGCGAGGCGCACACACGTGTCCCCCCGCCAGCCGCTGCCTCCCCCGGCTCCCAGCGCGATGCCCAGCGCCGCGGTGCCCGGCAGTGCCGCAGGATGCGAGGGGGAGCGGGCGGGCGCTGACCCCGGCCGGGAGCCCCGCTCTGTTTCCTGCTCCGTTTCCCTGGGGGCCGCTCAGCGCCTGCGGCGCTCGGGCCGCTCGCGGCCCCAAGGCTGCTCTCGGCTACTGCGGTTTCCTTCCTGAGCTGCAAATAACAGGACTGAGTCACCGCCCCGCGGCGCGGCCCCGGCCACTGCCAGRCCCCTCTCCATGCCCCTTTGCAGCGGGTGCCCCATGCATCTCAGYCCTTGCTATGTGCCCTGCTCTCTGCACTGGGGCCAGACCGGCTGCTGCTGGGCTGTGGGTGCCAGGCGCTGGTTTGGGGTRCGTGCGGCGCTGGCAGGAGATTTGACTGGCCCTGCTCATGCCCAGCTCTTCCACTGAACCAGCGCATCCCTGGGCACCGTGCACGCTCCCGATGTGCAATCCCAGTGAGATTGCAAAGGAATCTCAGCTCCCAGGATGCTCCCCCGGCTCCTGGTGCCAGCGCCAGCTCCRTACGTGCCAGGCCCTGAGCTTCTGCCTGCACCAGGGCCTGGTCCCCCCAGGAGYGGCTGGGCCGGATGCTCGTGCTTAGACTGCCCTCTGCACAGGATACGGCAGCGGCAGGAAAATCCCGGCTTTCCTGGAATCCTTCTGCYGTGATTTCAAGTGGATCAAAGAACCTGGGAAGCGGCGGCATCTGCTGCTCCGCRGCGGCCCTGGGATTGCTTTAACTTCCTGCGTTTGGGGCAGGGACTGAAGTGGGATTCACGGCGCACGGAAAGAGCCCGGTGAACAGCGCGGCCTTTATTGCCCGGACGCCTCCGCGCTTGCAAAGTCTCTCCAGCGGCCGCTTGCTGAGGACACGGCGGCGGTGCGAGCCCGCGGGCAGGGAGGAAGAGCGCGGAGCGGCGGCACCGCGGCCGCGCCGCCGGCAGAGGGAATCCTTCCTCCGGCAGCGAGGGGYGCCGGGAGCCGGCGGCGCGGCCACGCGGGCTGCGCTGGCTGCAGTGGCCGCGCTGGCACCGCCGACCTGCTGCAGCGCCCGTGCCCGCTGCCCCGTGCTGCTGCTGCCGGGGCTTAGCCCTTCCTGCGGAGAGGGGACGGCGTGGGCAGCTGCTGTGGGGCGCAGGGGCACTGCACACGCGTGGGGCATGTACACACACGTGGGGCATGCACATGCATGCAGGGCACATGCACACGCATGCAGGGCACATGCACACGCATGCAGGGCACATGCACATGGATACAGGGCACATGCATGCAAGGGAGCATGTACATATGTATGCAGGGCACATGCATGCAAGGGGCACATATATGTGCAGGGCACATGCATGCAAAGGGCACGTGCATATGTATGCAGGGCACATGAACACATATGTAGAGATTTGCATGCATGCGCAGGGCACATGCACATGCATGCAGGGCATATGTGCCCACGTTCAGGGTACATGCATGCACTAGATGTGTGCAGGGCACATGGACACGTGTGTAAGGCACACGCATGTATGCACAGGGTACATGTGCAGGGTGCAGGGCACATCCCTGTGCATGCCCCCAGCAAGCAGGGCACGGAGAAAGGGGCTGTACCGGCGAGGGGGGCACCTGCGCCCGCCTGGGCGGGAGCTCGGCCGCCGGGGCACCACTTCCAGCTGGGCCTCGCAGTCCCGGCTGCGGGAGAGCAGCGGATGTGATAGGGGATCCGGGGTGCAGGAGCCTCCCCGGGATGCGGGAGCCTCCCGCGCAGGGAGCTCGGAGCAGGACGGGGGTCCTTACAGGCGCCCCTGGAGCTGCTGCTGCCGGGCCTGGCAGCGCTCGCTCTGCAGCCGCTGCAGCCGCTGCTGCTCCGCCGCCGCCTGCAGCCGCCGCTGCAGCCCCAGCGCCTGCTCCTGGCTCCGCCGCAGCTGCTCTGCGGGGCACGGGGTGGGCAGCGCYGCGGGGGCTGCAGCCCCCGCTGCCCCCCGCGCTGCCCCCCGCCCTGCGCCCACCTTGCAGGGTGGCCTYGCTGCGGGCCAGCTCGTCCCCGTCCTGCTGCAGCGCCAGCACCTGGCTCTGCAGCTCCGTCACGTTGCCCTCCAGCACCGCCTGCACACGGGGGACGTTGTTGTGACGATGGCCTGGGGTTGGTGGCATCCCCACACCCCTCCAAGGGTGGTCTCCTCACTGTGCATCCATCCGGGCTCGCCACGGGCTCGGGAATAGGGATACAGCACTGGGAATGGGCAGCCTTTCCCACCCCGCTGGAAGGGGCACCCCCGAACAGYGCCCGGCCCCGCCGGGAAGCCGGAGCAGTTTCCCGGCCCTTCCAGGCCATTGTGTGGCCGGAATTGCGCAGGAGGCCAAGCGGCCCCGGCTCCTCCTCCGGCTCCRTGCTCGGACAGGCCCTTTCCCAGCTGGATCTGCAACTAAAAATACTCAAAGGGCCAAGCGGCAGCTCCGCGTCCCACCCCAGAGCTGCACAGGGCGCGTAATTACATGTGTGCGGCTTGGTGGCCACCAGGAATAGCGTCACGGCCAGGCCGCGCCGGTGACACCGCGGGCACAGGACACTCTGTGGGACAGCAGCTGCCTGCCCCGCGCTCCCTGCCCCATCTCGGCCCCTCTCCCTGCTGCTTTGCACCCCTGTTTGCTCCAGGGGTGGATGCATCCTTGCTGCTTTGCACCCCCGTTTGCTCCAGGGG